TTTTTTTTTTTTTTGTTTGCAAGAATTGCAGATTGTTTTGATGGGTAATGATCTATATTGTTTTCGACATGAAGGTTGTTGCAGCTTCCTGTTGGTTTATTGAGGAAATGGGTTCTGGAAATTCTTGATCTGCGAGGTTTGTGGATCGAAGTGGGTATTGCTGGAGAGTTGAAGGGAAGATCGCATTATGTTCTTGGGGCTTAGTTGAGGTGGTTTGATTGTCAGAATCACGTTTTACGATTCTCATCTGTCAATGTCGAGTTGATTCAGCAAAAGCCCTAATTCGATGAACAAATTAGATTTCGTAATTTCTGCTTGCATTGTTCTTCTGTTTTAGAAGAAACCCTATCCGCAGACTACATGGGAAGCCTCAATCTCGAAGTAGACGATGGTATGAAGTGTTCTTCAGTTATGGTTTTTTTTTTTTTTTTTTTTTTTTTTTTTTTTTTTTTTTTTTTTTTTTATGGAATGTTTACATATGCACCAATCAATTTCTATGTATTTGCATATCTAACACCTAAACTTCAGTTTTTATTTCTATGCCACTTTACCTAGGCATGAGAATTTGTGTTCCTCTTTTTAAAAATGGTGATCTTTTTTTGGGACATAAAGGATTTGGGTGGTATAAATGTAATGAGTAAAGTCTAGAGGTTAGTTTTGTACATATATAGGAATTGGGTGTGATACATGTAAGGAGCTGTATGGCAACAGATGAGATTTAAGTTAGTGGGATTTGGTAAGTCCTGTAAATCCAGGGTTAAATCTCAAAACTGTTGGACAAAGGATTTGATAAATATTAGATCCTGTGAAACTGTTTGGCAATATCTGTTAGATTTAAAAATCTATTATGATTGTTAGAATTTAAAAACAACTTAAAATAGGATTTAATAAATCTTGTAACTTCAAGTTCTTGAAACATTTTAAAATAGGCAAATTAACTTCTTAAATTCAATTAATATTTAATTTAAAATCATGCTAATTAATAATTATATATTTACTTAATAAATTTTTTTATTAAATTAATTATTAAATAGAAATTTAACATTTGTAAAATAATAATTAATTATATTTATTAATAATTATCTATAAATTTATTGGATGAATAAAGAAAATATATTTATTTTTTACTAATTCATAATTAAATAATAAATAAATTTATTTAAGCATAATTAAATTAATAACATTAACTTAAATGCCCCTTTTTTTTAACTATATTGTTTTACCTGTCGTCTGCTTTGGAAAATTCGCAGCAAAGAGACGAGCGGAAGTAGTTGTGTGGCTGAACAGTTTGTTCCCGGAGCTTAAGCTGCCGGAGGAGGCCACGGAGTGGGAGCTCAGAGCGCAGCTGTTTGATGGTTCTGTTTTTAATGGAATTCTTAGGATGTTGAATCTTGGTGCTGTGGACGAGGTAGAGCCAAAAATTGTATTTTTCTTGTTTTTTTTCTTAGATCCTGTCGGATTTTTTATTCTTTGCAGATAGAAGATCTTGTTAGAAAATGATTATTTTGTTTTCACTCATTTTTGTGTGAAAGAATGGATTTTTATGTCGCTTATTCAAATGTATGGGTCTGAGGTCAATTGTGGCTTATTCACATTTAGGAAGATTTACATACATACCAATCAATTCTTTATCTATATACATTTCGAACACCTAAACTTCAATACATTCCACCTTTATTTTGCATGTGACTGTATATCACTTTTTAAAAGTTACATGGTGTTATTTTTGATTTGATATGAAAGATTTGCGTGGTATAGATGTAAAAAATAAAGTTTAGGTGTTGATATAAATACATTAGAATTGGTCATATGTATGTAAATGCCGAATTCTAAAATTTGGTCATTTTTTTTATTGGTAGTCCTTTTGTCCTTGTATTGTTCTATCCATGATGTCAGCATTACAATACCCTTTCTTTGTAAATCGCTGTTGATGTTCTTTGTGGAATTTTAAATCCATATTGATTTTCAATTTCATCCAAATAAATTATGAAATCTCGTTAATTCACCGTTTCTTTTTCTACCAAATGTGCTTCTTTGACCAGACTGAATACACCGATAATGCTTCCTCTGAGAAGCGCCTGGAAATTTTGAAGCTTTTCCTCTCTGTTGTAAATGAGTTGGGGCTGCCCAGTTTCCAGGAATCCGATTTGGAGAAGGTAACTTTCAAGAATGATATTTTAGATTGTAAATTTTTGCTTTAAAGTAAAAAAAAAATGTAAATTTTAAAGATTTCATGTACCTTTCAATGTATCTAGGGAAATTTTTCTGTAGTTTTGGAATGTCTTCTCTCCATCCGGAGTCACTTTGGTTCCACTGTTAGGAAAGACAAGGCTTTGAGATCACTACCAAGGTGCAAAAGTCTGCAAATTAGGAAGTTGAAGCAAGGGGAAAGTATGTATGGTTCATTAGCTGATGGAGTTTATGGTGGTTCCCCAGTCTTTGGTGATGATAAAAAATCAAATTTTGCAGAAAGAAAATTCCAATTTGCCTCAAGGAACCTTGTTTCAGGTAATAGCAATGTTTCAGATAATTTACAAGGAAGATTTACATACATACCCCTTAATTCTTATGTGTTACATATCTAACACCTGATGATCTTGGCACTAGTTAATTATTATGTTGATCTGTATGCTTTTTTTCTTTCTTCTTTCCTTTGTTTCATAGATACAACCAGTGCTTTATCTCAACATGCTGGAGGTAAACTCCATGAGATTTTCCAGCTAAAACGGGGACAGTTTTCTGAACTTTCGTCTGCAAAGATTTCTGAAATCATGAAACTGAACAGTTTGGATGTAAGCTTCAACTTCTGATCACAGCCAGTTGTCTTTTTCTTTTTTTTTTTTTTTTTTGGTGGGGAAAAATAGCACTATTATCATTTTTTTAAAAGTGAAATACACCTTTTAATGCATAAATTTAATGCACCAAAATGTTATGAATGTAAATATGAAAATTTAAGAGTGAGGTATGTAAATATATAAGAATTATGCCCTATGTACGTAAATTCTCTCTTTTATTAAGGAGTATTTAGTTTACCTTGCTCATCATTTTTTGCATGACCTATGTTTAATGTTATGGAGAGTACTTTTTCGTGCAGAATGCTCCAACACAATCACTTTTGAGCGTTGCCAATGAGATTCTTGATGAAAGCGTTGAGAGAAAAAATGGGGAAATACCTCAGGTGTGCCAACTTTTTGTGCAGGACTGGAGTTGAATGTCAAAATGGTGCCTTGACTCATTATTGGGGATCATTTTAGTCTCGAAGTCTATAAAAGTATCAATTTAGTCCCTATACTTCGAAATAGTGGTTAAAATAGTCTTCATGTGGGGACTATTCCAACCCATTCTAAAGTAGTCTAGGCACTAATGTGGCACTTATATAGACTGGGTACTAAAATGACTAAATGTAAATAGTTAGGGGCTGTTTTGAGAATTTACTTTGCAGGAATCTTTATTGCCTCATAATCTAAGATATATTTTTCTGCAAAATTGTTGAATTTCAATCAGTTGAAACTACTTAGGTATTTAATGCAATTTTGCTTCTCTTTTTTTTTTCATTTGGTCAGCGTGTGGCATGCTTGTTGAAAAAAGTCATGCAAGAAATCGAAAGGCGAATAACAACTCAAGCAGAGCATATCAGACATGTAAGAGTATGACTGATATTTTGTAGTTTGTACATAAGATTTAAGCTAACAGTTACTTTTGTTGTCTCAGCAAGGTAATCTGATGAAAGCACGTGAAGAGAAGTATCTATCAAGGATCAAGGTGCTTGAGACGCTGGCCAAGGGATCAAACGAAGAAACTTGGGTATAAATACTTCAAATTGCTTCTTCCCTGCAAGATATTTGAGTGGATTATCTGATTACGGATGTTTTTTTTTTTTTTTTGCCTCTTTTTCCCTTCAGATTACCGCAAACCAGTACCAGGTCCTACAGGTCTAGTTCTTCTCCTCTTATCATATTTTCTTGTAGATCAATTAGATTTGCTTTCTTATATTAGTTTGAGTATACAAAAGTTCCACGACTGTTACGTGACTTTATATCTATTAGTTTTACCTCCTTTTTACTAGTTCAATTAAAATAAAGTTAGCTTTTTTCAAAATTCATAAAAAATATTCATCCTGGAAGGTTTTGATTGTGAAAAAGGTTGTAGCTATTAAGAAAGGTACTGTTGAGTCATTGTCTGAGTTAAATATTTGGAGGCATGCCCATGCCAATGTTGTACTGATTTTGAAAAATTAATTTACATTTATGGGCATTTACATACATGGCTCACGATTCTTATGTATTAACATACCTCACAGCTAAACTTTCATATTTACTCATATAGCGCTCAAAATCTTTAATAGCAGTACATCAAAAGTAACAATATTACCACTTTTAAAAGTAAAATATACATTTTCATGCATATATTTAAAGCACCAAAATGCTGTTTATATTAATATGAAAGTTTAGATGTGAGATATGTAAATACATAAGAATTGTGTGCTAGGTATGGAAGTACCCCTTCATTTTAATCCTGCCTTACATTTGTCTAACACAGACACTATAACTTTGCTTCCTGCAAGATACACTTTGCATGGGATACTTTAACTTTGAATCTTTAATCTAATGCTATCTTGCGGTATAAAATTGTTTATTACAAAGTGCAGATTAAATTGATTGAGAGGACTCTTTTGTAATTTTATGCAACCTTTTATGTATAATCGCCGATTTATTTATGTTGTGCTTCTTTTGGATAAAAATACTTGGGATGAATTTTATATGCAGGCAGATAAGAAAAAAATTGAGGAGCAAAAGAGACTTGGGGAGGAAGTAGATAGGCTGATTAAGGAGAAAGAAAACAGTGATAGCGTTATTGCAGAGCTTACACTGGATAGTGAATCAACTAAGAGGTCATATGAGCAAAAATATCAGCACCTAGAAACTGAATCCAATAGAACAAAGTTGGAACTAGAAAGGAAGATAAAGGAGGTTGAAGTCCTTTTAGAAGAGTCAACAAGAAGGTCAAAGGAACTTGAGGTATTTTCAGAATCAAAGTTTCAAAACTGGAACCAGAAGGAGGGCATCTTCAATGAGTTAATATGTTTAGAATTACGATCGTTGCAGGTATTTAATTTTGGGAAATTTACATTTATATGTCACAATTTTTATGTTTTTACATATCTAACACCTAAAGTTTTATATTTACATTTATCCTGGGCATGAAAAAGTGTATTTCACCTTGATAAAAATATAAACATGAAAGTTTAGGTGTTAGTTATGTAAATATATAAGAATTGTGTGGTATGGATGTAAATGTCCATTGATTTTTATACATATTATTATGTATTTATAATGCTATTTTCATTATCAATCCATGCTTACCTAGGATTTGAGGACATCTTCTCAATCAATAAAAGAAGAATTTATTTCTATACAAGAACAATGGAGCGAAGAAATTGTAAAGCTTGGTGAGTAATTAGTGGCCTAAATTTTGCTTAAATTCGGTTTTTTTTTTTTTTAAAATCTTAAGCTTCTATGCCTATCTTCTAGTTTTTTTTTAATCACTTTTTGAGCTTTCTTTCATGTTTATTGCTTTTATAATTCATAGGGTTAAACCTGAAAGTATTGGCCAATGCTGCGGAAAATTACCACACTGTTTTCTTAGAGAATCAAAAATTGCACAATGAGGTTCAAGAATTGAAAGGTAGCGTACTATCATCTGTTGATGCAAATAAGTTTTCATCCCATTTGTGTAAAAAAATTCACTTTTTTAGCATCAATGTTCAGGTAATATCCGAGTTTGTTGTCGGATAAGGCCCTTACTTCCAAGGGAAAACACGAAGTTTACAATCATAGACTATATTGGTGAGAATGGTGAGCTCACTATCGTAAATCCTTCCAAACACGGAAAGGACGGACAAAAAATGTTCAAATTCAATAAGGTCTTCGGTCCAGCTGCCACCCAAGGTTTCATTTCAGACTCCTACAACCAATTTCATTCTTGAGGGTGATAAAATTATTAAATATTTAAATTTTTTAAATGTCGGGGAATAAACTTATTGTGGGAGGGAAAAATTACAAAATTGCTTAGGTTAGATAGGAAAAAATTACTAAAATTTCTATGTTTCAGAATGGTCAATTGCCCACCCTGAACATAATCTAATTCCGCCACCGTCTTGAACATGCTAAGCTTAAAATTTGGACTTTGTTCTTATTGATGATGAGAAATGAGAATTTGTACTTTGTAAGCTCAATGTTAAACTACTTTATATTCTGATTCCTATCTTATTCTGTTGACAGGGGAAGTATTCTCAGATATTCGGCCTTTAGTACGATCGGTTCTTGATGGATACAATGTCTGTATCTTTGCTTATGGACAAACTGGATCAGGCAAAACATACACAATGGTATGCATTTTCTTTGTATTTTCTCTGTGCTTTCTATCTTTTATGGTGTCTGTGTGATAAACGGGTATTTATTTTAACTTGTATAGAGCGGACCTGATTCTCCATCCGAAGAAGAATGGGGAGTCAATTATCGAGCTTTGAATGATCTTTTTCATATATCTCGGCATAGAAGAAACACCGTATTATATGAAGTTGGTGTGCAGATGATTGAGATATATAATGAACAAGTTCGAGATCTACTTTCCAATGATGCTTCACAAAAGAGATATCCTTTCAAAATGCTTCATCTATTCCTTCCATACGTTGTGTTTGTTTTTTTAGTCAACTACAATTTTATCTAACAATCTCGTTAACAACATTTGTCTTTTATTTTTATGATTTCTAGATATTGACCAACTTTACTGTCATCTGAATGTCAGGAAATTTAATATTTGAATCTTTCTCCCTACTTCATTAGTTATTCCGAAATTTGCTTCTCCTTATTATTGGAATTAAATCTTAGGTAATATATAATCTTTAGGTTTGTATGTTTATCTTTAGGGGCATTTATATGCAATCCACTCAATTTTTTTGCATTTACATATCTAACATCTGAACTTCACTTTTACATTTATACCACTCATATCTTTCATACACATGAAATTATCATTAGATTAACTTTTAAAAAAGGGAATATACCTTTTCATGCATAGATAAGGTGGATAAGGTGGCGTGGCATATATATGTAAAAATTGAAATTTAGGTGTTAGATATGTAAATACACAAGAATTAAGTGGTATATATCTAAATCTTCCTTATCTTTATTACTTAATTTTCTTTCCTTAACAAGCTCACACTTGGGATTGTGAGTATAACTCAATCAAATGGACTTGCTATCCCGGATGCAAGCATGCACTCTGTTACTTCAACCTCTGATGTGCTTGAACTCATGCATTTTGGACAAGCAAATAGAGCTATAAGTGCTACAGCACTAAATCAAACTAGTAGCCGTTCACATAGGTTATAAACACTACTCTGATTCAAAAAAGCAGCCGTTAGTTTTACATCAAAATACAGCTTTTTCCATAATTTTCTTTATTTTTTATTAATTTTGCAGTGTCGTAACCATTCATGTTCGAGGCAGTGATTTGAAGGCTGGAACAACTCTGTATGGATCTCTTCATCTCGTTGACCTTGCCGGGAGTGAGAGAGTTGAACGCTCCGAAGTGACAGGAGATAGGCTCAAGGAAACTCAGCATATTAACAAATCATTGTCTGCTCTAGGCGATGTAATATTTGCTCTATCCCAAAAAAGTGTTCATGTTCCATACAGAAATAGCAAGCTCACGCAAGTCTTACAAAGCTCCTTGGGTATTTCTCTTTGCTTTGCTTGAAAACTTAGGAAGATTTACATACATACCAATAGATTCCTATATATTTACATATCTAACACCTAAACTTTAATTTTTACATATATTCCACCTTATCCATACATGTAAAGATGTATTTCACTGTTTAAAAGTAAGAAAAAAAACTGCATTTTTCTTAGTCATCTGCAAGAATTGGGCGGTATTAATGTAAAAGGTATGAAAATACATAGGAATTGGATAGTATGTATGCAAATGCTCCTACAAAGTATCATTATTTGTATTGAAACTCTATCTCTAAGTCATCCACTCTGCACCTCATCTGAAATGTTATTTTTTGTTCAGGCGGCCACGCGAAGACACTTATGTTTGTGCAGATAAATCCAGATGTAAATTCATATTCAGAAAGTTTAAGTGCTTTGAAATTCGCAGAAAGAGAGTGTCTGGAGTCGAGTTAGGTGCTGCTCGTAGTAACAAAGAGAGCAAAGATATCAAGTATTTGACTGAACAGGTTGGCTAATAGTAATCAAATGACATAAAAGTGACATTGATTCCTGTTAATTAAATGGTTTTCTATTGTTTCTCAATTCGTTATTTCAGGTAGCGTCGCTAAAAGAAACCATTGCGAGGAAAGATGAGGAAATTGAACAACTGCAAATGCTCAGGGAATCTGGAGCATTCTCTTCTGGGGTCAACAATGTAAAAATTGGAAGTTTTCCTCTGCGCCACTCATTCTTTCCTCCTGGAATATCCTCAAAAAGTTTGACTTCGCAACAAGACTTTGGTTTGTCAGCTCAAAGTATTATCAGATCTAATAATGAAGCTACTTCAGATTCTGGGAACAACTCAGACTACAGCGACAGACATTCTGAAATAAGTTCACAGAATTCTGTGGATGAGAAGCAGAAGAGGGAAAGTTTGTGCCAGACAAAGCATTCTGCTGAAGAACCTGGTTTGAGGTGTCCGGCAGATTCACGTATTTTGGCATTCAGTGGCGAAGATTCAGGAGAAGGATTAAATGATGCATATAATGGTGGACATTTGGGGTCCGATGGGTTAGTTAGTGCTATTGAGTCCTCTCAATTCCCTGAGCAGAACAGGCCAATCAATGGCACAAAAGAAAAGATGTGAGTTTCCTATTGCTGGTTTAGTTAAACTTTTTTTTTCTATCTTGCTAGTTCATTAACCAATACATTTCACTTCTTGTTAGACAATTAACTGACTTTATGTTTTAGATGATTTGATTGCGGGATTGGACTGGCAGGAGGTTAATTTTGATTGATATGGTGATTTTTGTGATGTTTTATAACAATAACCCCTGTTTAAAGTTGCCGACATGTGTTTAGTAGAAGCAATGCATCGTAAAAAGGGCTAATAAAGCCAAAAGGTTGAGAGCTATCTAGATACTTGGTGATCCGTAGATTTATACTTAGCTAATTTTTATTCATTCATTTTACTATAAGAAGACTTTTGGCACTCTTGGCTCTCTTTTCATACATGTCTTAATAGGGGTGTGCATAAATTGGTTTAAACTGAAAAAAAATCAACTTGGACCAATATATCTCCATATATTTTAATTTAATTTTGGTCTTTGTATTATCAAAATCCAATGTTTTTTGCTTTGTTTTTCAAATTTTGTTAACTCAAAATCAACAACAACAACAAACCTTTATCCCACTAATAGGGGTCAGTTGCATGAATCTTTTTTTTCCCTTTATGTCCTATTGCGTTTTTTTTCCATTATGTCCTATTGAATGTCATATTTTTATTTAATTTTGATAGATTAAGATCTTTCTTTTATACAATATGCTCAAATCTTTTTAGGTTTTCCTTTACCTTTCTTAAGATAAGTTAATCTTAAACATCCGCTCACCTAACCAGATCATCAGATGGTCAACGTTTAATGTGACCAAACCATCTAAGGCGCCTCTCTCTAATCTTGTATGCAACTAGAGCTACACGAAACCTTTAACGGATATATTTGTTTTGCATTTTTTCTCTAAGTTTAAAACCACTCATCCGCCTAAGAATTCTTATCTCATTAACGCTTAACTTTGTTTTATGCTTCTTTTTTAAAGGCCAACATTATGAGCCATAAAGCATTGCAGGTCTGACCACCATCTTATAAAATTTTTCGTTAAGCATGAGTTATACTTTTCTATCACACAATAAGTTTGATGCATTCTCCACCTCAACCAACCAGCCTGAATTCTACTAATAACATCTCTATCTATATCACCATCACTTTGAACAATAAACATCTAAAACGTTCACACTTTTTAATGTCACCCATAGTTACAACTCTGCCACTAGAGCTACCACTACTAAAATTACATTCCATGTATTCAGCTTTGAGCCTACTCAAACGGAGGCCTTTAGACTCTAATGTAGACCTCCATAATTCAAGTTTTACTTGAACTCCTCAAAAATTTCTAACTAAAAATCAAACCAAATAAATTGGATTAGATTACAGTTCAAGTTGATCCAGTTCTACCTATGATTTTGTTGGTTGCTCCTACAATTTGGTTTGGCTTAATTTATTTAACAAATTTGTCAACTAATCCCACCAAACCAACTGAATGTTCACCCTTATGCCTTAATGTATTTGTTTTTTCATCATTGTATTCATTTTGTCTAGTGTGAAGCTTTTTGTTCTTCTCATTCTAGTAGGCATAGGTTGCATCATCTTTAAGAGAATCCCTAGATCTCGAGGGAAAGCTAGTTGAAGGTCCAATCTTGACTATTATAGGACTTTTTGTCATATCTAAATAGTGTCGCGACTTATAATTCATATGCTTAGCCATTTAGTAACATATAACCATAGACTATAACTGTAACATTATAGTACAATCACAATCACACTAATTACAGAGTTGAACGCATATATAATGTCCTCATTTTAGTTTTGAGTGTTAATACATGAATATATGTGTGCTCTAAATATTTCCAACCAACCTTGTTTAAATTCAAGTATTTTGGGTTTCTTTTTCAAAAGGTAAATTGAGTATTATATAAGTTACTATCGAAATATTTTGCCATTTAATTGGGATTTTATGATTTGAGTTGAGATTTATCATAACCCTTGTTATTAATGACCCCTCTATATATTGAGAGAGAACTTGTGATTTTGATTAGTTCATAGGCTCTACGGTAATTTAATCAACAACAACAATTTAAATAATGTAAATTAATATATATCTTTATTGTCTCAAAATGGATGGATATCCCATATCTCACTATATTGGATTGTTTTGCACTCTAGTATATGTAGTCAGTGAATGTAGTTGACCCAATAAAATCAAAAGATTTTATTAATATTCTTAGGTTGTATCGTTTAAGGGGACCTTATAAAAATAAGATGTTAGTTTATTTAATGGCCCAATTTTAAGTCAAACTTGGCTAAGATGGAGGTTTATTTCCTATCAAGTACTTTTTACATAACATAGCTCATTTCTCATAAATTGGTCAGTGCGGAACATCCCAAATTGGATCGTAATTCAATTCTAATAGTGTCATCATAGTAAGATTAGCTATTTGGTTAGGGACACATGCTTCATTCTTAGTAGCATTAGGTTTTTAAGTGCGGCTATATGGGTGCGATATGACATTAGCTATTTACGTGTTTTCATTGAATTTGATTTTATCATCTTTGGAAAACTATTGTGGTTAATGGGTGCGATAGGACATTAGCTATTTATCTGTTTTCATTGAATTTGATTTTATCATCTTTGGAAAACTATTTTGGTTAATGGATGGATGATTGTTTTTGAGCATGAGCGAACAAGCATTGCCTTGACTTAGCGGTATTTATAAATATTTAATATTTTTATATTTCAAGGGGCTTGGATTTAGATGGAGTTCACTCCAATTCTGATTTTGTATTCATGTCGATGATTGAAAAAATAGCCCAAGATTTATTTATCTTTGAATTTAAGAGTGCACTTTAATGATAAGATCCCTTCTGTTTAGAATTTTCAATAATCATAAACTTCATAGGGGAATGTTAATTTAAGAATTTACCTTTATGAATGAGGTCCTCTAGCTATGAGATGTTGATAAATGATTAATCATAAGTGTTATTTTGACCCCCAATTAATGAACTAAGGTAAAATGACACTTTTGTAATGTGGTACCGTTCACCTACCACATCTCACCAACCGTTCACCTACCGCTCACTCTCCCTCCTCCCACCTGCCACTCGCTTGCTTCTATAAATAGAGAGAGTATGAGGCTTAGGAGAGCAAGGAAAAAGATCTTAAGGGTGTGAGACTTAGGAGAGGAAAGGGAAGAGATCTTAAGCTACCACGAAGGAGGAGAGAATAGCTAGAGAGCTAGAGAGGAGGAGAGCATCTTGAGGCCTTGTATCAAGGTGTCGCTTGAGAGGGAGGTCATAGAAGGAAGATGAGGGCTCATCTCTATGTATAAGCTATGTATTCTCCATTT